AAACTGGGATAGCACTTTCTTTTCCCATACACTCAGCTTGTCAACTGATATGGAAAAACTTTTCAGAGAAACACTTGCCACATAGTTCTGAACATAAATGAGTTTCAGTACTGGGTGATGACTCATCTGTACCATAACAGAAACAACAAATAATTTTTAAATTTGGGATTGATATGGGACCTTTTCTAATGTAGATTTTACTCTGTGCTGTTGCACATATTAGAAGAATGAGGCGTGGGTGGGAAATGTGATTTAATTGCCTTTCTGGCTTTTCCTCCACTAGGGAGTTTTCCTGCATGAAAGAGCAAAGGACTATCAACAATAATAATTCATGCCAAGGACAAGAACCTCTGTAATTTGGTTAGTTTCAGGATTCAAATACATTGTTGTATAAAACAGTATCTGATCATTTTTCCTCTTGATCCTACTAAGTTTTGCCTCTTTGGTTTTGAAAAAGGGTATGAAAGGTATGCAAGAACTAAATGAAAAATAATATTCATTATATCTGGCATGACTGTGCTGAATTTAAAACCATGAACATCTTGGCTGCGTCCACATGAGTATGTACATTTAGTTCCCCACAGACAACTAACGGTGGTCCACCTTGCACCACCACTACTTGTCCCCGGGGAACACCTGTGGCACATGCAATTTGGTGCACAGCAAGTTATCCCAGGTGGGGTAGGAGAGGCTGCCTTACCTGGGGTGCTGGGTGCCTCCTGGGGCTGCTGCAGCAGTAATTCTGCCAGGTGGAGCCTGGCTAGCAGCTGCACCGCAGCTCTGGGCAACCTGGCTCCACTTTTGAACAGCATGCCCAGAGGTCAAAAAAAGTTGCAGGAAAAAAAAAGGGAGCAGCACGTGCACAGGAAGCGCCCTCTTGCAGTGCTGAGAACATCTGAATGTGTGGTATGTGGCACTGCAGTCATGTCTGTGGCGCCACCTATGCACAGCTGCATTCATCTGGATGTGGCCCTTGTGTACGAGATTCCCCCTCCCCTTAAAATATTTACTGTAAAACAAGGCTTTTCCTACACTGTACGTCTGCAAGATACCATTGCAGACCCACTGAAAAATTCTCTCTTAATGAACCCCTTAACTGAACATACCAGCTACTAATTCAGTAAGGAGTTGGATCTATAGAAAATTCTTGGTGCTTTATCAACATTCTGGGGGAAAAGTTGTAACCATTTCAATTATGTGCTTAAAAACACATGCACTTGTTACTTTATTTACTCAACATTCAAAATTGAATATGATTAGCACACGTGTATTACTGATTAGGGTTAGGAAATTGTCTCATATTTTTACATTTTAAAACAATTTTGAAACTACCAAAGATTTGAACTCAAAAGTAGTTTTGGAGGTTTTAAAAACTGAACAAAGAAAGGTGGACTTGGATCAGTGGCCTGGTTCCCTCTAATCTCAGAAACAGATTTACTTTTGAGATAAAGTAATTATTTATAGTACTACCTATCCCATTGAAAGTAACCTTTAAAAATCAATTTAATCTGAAGTCTCATGACCTTGCAATAATACAATTTCCTTTTGTTTTCTCACCCAAACATCTTAAACTGAGATAATGTTTATCCGACATGAGTTCTAGTTATTTTATATAATAAATGCAACTGATTTTTTAATGTCAATCATTCAAAGATATGATTGGACCCAGGAAGGTACAATTACTGCACAACTTAGTATGTCCATGAGTAATGCTAATGAACTCTTGATGTATTTTAATATTCCTCATACCAATAGTAATGAGCTGCTGTTTGCAAACTTCACTTTGGAATTGCACTCAGTGTTCCATAATGTCTTGTTTAACAACTAAATTAAGGGACTTTTAACTGGAGGAGGCATTGTTCTGATTTTGTTTCCTGTGATTAATTGCTTTTTGCTTGTCTAGAATTGCATTTTCATGATTTTTCAGTATAGAATCAGAACTACTGATATGACTGAGAGTTAAATTTATGTTTTTCACTGTGAGTACAATATTGCCAGCTATCCTTATCTGAGCATGCACTTGCTGTAGAAGTTTAAAAAAATCCTACATGTGAATATTTTAAGCCCGTTATAAATATTATTTTAAAAAATGCAATTCAAGATAGTTAATATTTACATGTTTCAATAGCATGCAGAGATTGTACATCTGGGATGCCCTAGCATAAACACACTGTTGTCAGATACATTTGACAATATAAATAATTCACCACTGAACATATTCAGATGCTGTATAATACAAGAATATGTACTGCTTTTGTTTTATAAAAGGCATTTTTAACAGCCTTATTTTGGAAACAATGTGGCATTTCTCTGGACTACTTGATTTATGTTTAAAAATGGAAGTTATGAAATATATTCAAATACATCTGATGACAAAGAAATGTGTCATCTTAAAGTCTTAGGTAATAGCACCTTTGTTCTCTAAATCATCATATAATTAATGATCTATAGGGTACAATATATTATATATGCCCTGTAAGCCATAATAATAACCACACTTGAGCATATCTATACCTGTTTTACTCTACTAAAGTGCTAGTAATATTAGTATCTGATTCAACCTATGCTGGTATTGGCAGGGGTCAATTTCTTATGTCAGATGACACTGAAGCTTTTCAACAGATATAAGACTTCTTTTCCCCGTTTCCACTTCAACCTTTCAACCATTCACTCATTTTTAATTTACGCTTTAATTCCAGTTCTATCCTTCAGAGTAAAGGGCACATTGTCAGGAAGATAGAGAAATCTATAGTGCAAACATGAAGCTTTCCTAATGGAACTCATGGAACAGAAAGTTACAATTATTGCGTAAAATTTTTGGTTCTTTGATTCAAAATCCAAAAGTGTTCAAATGCATATTCCTGAATTCAGTGACTCTTTCAACATTAAGATTTGAGTTGAACTTTTCTGCAGAGACTCAAGGAATAGATTTTTTTTTAATTAAAGAAAAAAACACTTCAAAAAGACTAGACTAGAGACTTACATACTTGTGGAGTGCAGCAATTCAAAGATTGGGATTCTGTCCTCTGAGACAGAATCCAGTACGCTGGAACTCAATTAGATTTTGACCTTCTTCAGCCATAAAGGACAGGGAAAAAGACATTGTTTGCTACTTGCTTAAATTAAATTGGGTCCCTTAAGAAACAGATGAAGAGATTCCAAGATGAGAAGTATTTTTAACAGAATTGTATTCAACTGCCAGTGTAAAATAGAACTTATTTACTTTATTACCTCATTACACTAATAAAACGTCATATTTGAATTAGAAAAATGATAATTAATGACACTGGCAGAGCTCCCCAACTGATCATTCACTAAACTTCATTTATTCAGTCTCTCCATACTGAATCCTTGTGCTCTAAATCTTCCTTTGTTCTTCATAGGCTGCAACACTGGCCCTTTCCTTGACCTCTTGGGCACACTTCTGAGGTACAGGCTCTGTATGTGCTTTTCCTTCACCTAGCTGGGACTTTGCAGCCCCAGAACCTGCGCTGAGCTACCCAAATACTCCATTTACTGAAGTACCCCCTTTCTCAGAGCTCTGAGTCTTACAGACAGAAGTTACAGAAGTCACTCTGTTTTGAAACATCTTCATCTGACCCCTCATACAATGAGGGTTCAGATTTTCACCCAATCAGCCATTTTTAAGCTGTCTGCAACCATGCACCTGTGTTTGATCAAGGCTATAGCTCACTTTCTGTGACCAGATTGGGCACAAATTGTCACTTCTGTCTGTGCCCTCAAGGACTCTGTATTTACAGCTTATCTCCTGAGATGTATGCAGTAGTGAAGGCAAACAAATAAAGATACTTTGGAAGGTTTCCCAAACACCAAATACTTTACTTCCATTAGCAAAAGCAGCACAGCATTTAGGGTAAAGAGTATGAATATTTATTCACCATTTCCTAACCTTTGTTGCAGCTCAGAGGTGTCTCAGGGGTTCAGGGCCCCGGACTAGCATGTGGCTTCTCCTTCCCTCTCTAATCTCATATAGGCAGTTTTCCTCTTCTTGCCTGGCCCTGCAGTTAAGCAAACCCCCTTTACTATGAAGACACACCCTTCTGCTCTGCCCAAACCTCCAAGTTTCTCTAATGCCTCCTCTCCTGCCCACTCCCATGCAACTTTCTCAGGCCCTGTGCTAAAAAGCAAGCGCTGACAGATATATTGTATTCTGATCTCCCAGCTCCAGCCCCATGTAGAGTCTGGAAAAAGATGGTTTTAATGAGAATGTGACCATAACAATTAACCCAGGTCTTTGCACTGGAATGGGAATAACCAGTGCATTAATGCATTCTATTGCCCCATGTCTGGAAGACACATGGCACAATCCTGATTCCAAATTAACTATGACATGCAGTGGTAATCTCAACCAGGAGCTGTATGTAGCCATATTCCCCCAAATAATTAAAATTAACTTTTCAGGATGCCACATAAAGAATAACCTCTTCAGAAAGGACAAGAGCATGCTGTCAAAGTGGGAAACATGAGTTCTAACTTTCAAAGACACATTATTAGGTTCCAAAAACACATTTCTCAGTGTGAGACTTGAGCCCTTCTGTGTTGGCTTGAAAATCCTATCAGATACCAGCATAAACTTTTAAAATTACATCCTGGAACAGCTCGGCATTGGAACAGGGACATTGAAACACTGATTGCATCTGATCAGAACCTTTTATCTCAATATGTACAATTTAATTTTCACAGAAACTGTACCACAGAAATATTTTTCTATTAAGTTACAATGTTCTGTGATTTCAACTATCAGTTAATGCAGACTAATAAAAGTGGTATAAACAACTTTCACACAGTTCCCAAAGGACTTGATTTTAAAAGAAAGCTGAGAGTTCCCCCCCAGGAAATTCTGAACTTTCTTCCAGCCTCAAGACAGCAACAAGATTTTAGGAGGGCGAACTTCAATGAGCTAAGGAGGATA